AAAATGTAATCTGATGAATCTGCAGAATATATGGCGATTTTTTAAATTCTGAGCAGTTTTAATTGCGTCATGGTTGATGTTGGATGAGGAATTCGTGTCTATGCATAAGAAATACAATATCATAAATTTTCTATACCCAAGGAATTTGTGTAATTCTATCAGTGCATCTATTGTCAGGAAATATATAAAAAGGTTCTAACGTGGGAAAGCTTGTTGACCTCCGTTTGAGCGATATTATTTGATTGCATTTAAACTTGTCAGGATTGTATTTACAATGTTACGGATGAATGTTAAATTGTCATAGTCAGTTTGGCATTTGCTGCATATATGGTAACGAAAAGGCGATATTATAAGCCTGTTTACAGGTAGTAAATCCTCATCTATCTGTTTTGTAGAATTCGAAAATTCGATGTATTAGCCACATATTTTATCATTCCTTCTTAGCTATACTTAAAAGGAATCGATAATTGATAAATGTTGGTTATAATGTCTGCGTTTGCAAGAGATTTGTGAAGCACAGATTGAGATAGATGGTGAGGACCTTAAACCAAGGCAACCTTGGAAGGAAGCATGGCTTAATCCCAAACAATGTCTGAGAGCTTGATATTTATGTAATCGCTAGAAATATGGTTTATTCTAGTCTTGTATCTCACTAGATGTGATTTTTTCAAAAATATTGAGCTCGATCGTAGGGAATACATAATTTTAGGGCTATTTAAATAGTTCTTAATTTAAAAAAAGGCTTTATGAGTCGATAGATTAGGAAGGATAAGTTTTAAATTTTCAAAATATTGTTTATATTGACAAAAGATATTAATTAACTCCTCCTAATACGAGGGCTTAAATGAGATTAAACTCAAAAATATTATCATGTTAATTTCCCAATATTTTATTTTTCTTTGATTCAGTACGAGGCCGAGATTGTCTACAGAATCTTTTATGATGCTGATTGCTGTTAGGAATTTATTCCCATTTTTTAAATATTTTATTTTTAAGTGGTCTTTTTAGTCCCCACTACACCCTTCCATTTATTACATTCCTAATTCCTGAATAAATTGATTTTCCAAACTCATTATTATGAATAATTCATATAATCTATATGCCCTCCTAATATGACAAATGATAAAATGTATATTAATTTAAATAGAATTTCTACATATTGTTAATAAAATCGTAATTTATTTATTGCACATATTAGTATATAATAATTTTTCATTAATATTATATAATATAAAGTTAGTTATATTTATTTTCATTTTATAAAGGTAATATAATTTAACTATACGTTTCTGTTTAAGTATCTATTTTAGATTTAAATTGTTTTTTTTTGAATAAATTAAACCTTATCTAGTATAATTTTGATCTAATTATACATTTAGTACAAAATCCGTCTATAAATATTGTTACAAAATATGTTACTAATATATTAATCAATTGTTTTGCAGTTTATTTTAGTTGTTTCTAATAGAAGGATAATTTTAAAAACGATATAATATATTTGATAGTTGTTAATATTCAGGAGCATCCTGGGCATGGTTTGACCTTGTGGGAAATTATAGTTTTAATTTAAATGACCATTAATAAACTTATTAATATTGTTGTTATTATTTTGTACACTCTGCTTAAACTATTTAAAAGACAAATAGCTCATTTTAGATTAGAGTATAAGGATTGATAGCCCACAAAACATAAGCCTTTATGATCAAGCTATAAAAGTTATATTAAAAACTTTTTGTGATTAATAAAGTGAGATTCCTGTCTTTTAATTAATATAAAATTGCCCATTTTTAAAAGAAGATTATAGGAAAGTGATAAAGTTGCTTTATGGCTAAAGATATTGATGAAAATATGAATGGATACACATTTTAATAAGTTCTATGCCACATAAAATAAAATCAAATTATAGGATAAATGGGGAAACCATCATTGGGGTAAAACAACATCGCTCAAAATTTAGCCGTGTGTCAGGAAACTTTAATTGATACAATATGTATTTTTATATCATGAATATTTTATTGTAGGCCTTCCTAGTAATGTTTAGCACAAAAATACCCTATTTTTTGAAAAAATAATTTTCTAAATTTATCTAAATTTATATCGGCATGAAAATGTTCATAAGCTGTTAATTTAGGCAAATTTATATCGTTTTCTTTCATATAAATTATTATGGACATGGCCAGATAACTTGTACATAATATATTTTACTGTTCTTGTGAGCCTTGGGGGTTTCTTCTAGAGTACCCAACTCTAATGGTTAACTTTTTTAACCAAATATGTATTACTATATTATGCATATGCGGCTATATTTTATAAAATTGGATCACATATAAAACTTTTATAAGACAATATGCGATTTATACCCTCAAAAGTATCTTTCTAAATGCTGCAATTTATAAAAAAATGATTAAGGTTTTAATTAACCAATAACTATCTTATATAAAAGATTGAATCTATTATAAAATTATTTATTATTTGAACAAAAAATATCTTTAAACTACCATAAAATTAAATTTTAAAGATATTGAGGGCCATATGAGTTTTTTGAGCAAAATTTTTAAAATTCAGGAATTTGAGAAAACAAACGTAGGTTATGCAACAGTGTAAAGATATAAATCAAGATTAAGGAAACAACAAGATTTTAAATTGTCTACATCAAGACAAATATTAAAGAAAGAACGAGAAACTATATTATACAATTATCTAATAAATGCATCTAAAAAGTTTATGAGTCTTTGTTCCGTAATTTTCTCTTTGGGAACATGTATCCTGTTGCAATTTAATCCATTCTTTATTTTTTTAAATTGTCAATAAATTTCACTAATTTATTATAATTATCTTCCATTATGGCTTAGTTTTATCGGTAAAATAGTTCTAATTATAAATATATTTATATTTAAAAATAAGAAATATATTCAGCTAAAAAGTACCTCATGGGAGCTCATTCTTCCTCAGGTTTAGCTCATCCTTTCCCAAATTCTTTTTCGGAAAAATTAATATTGTTTAAAAAGTAAAATTTTTAAAAAATTATTTTTATATATAGCATAAAAGTAATAAGTGAAATAATTTAGATATTATTTGTTCAATATTATAAAATAGTTTTAATTTTATTGACGTTTGTCTTTTAGGACTCGAATGCTCCCCGGTCTCCTCTACTACATCGGCAAATTTTCTCATTTCTTCCAAAAGCTAAACTAAATGATGATTCTTGTGCAGGTCTATATTTTGATCCCCGTTATCAAATACTGATATCAGTAACATGGCAAGAAAATATTTTATGCAAGTATTTCGATGATGAATGCATAATGATAAACCATTTACTTTTAGTTAAGATAATTATCTCGACCCCTAGAACGATTTTAAATAATTATTTCAAATAGAGGTAAATAATAAAAGGTGGTTTTATAAATTCCTATAATTACATTGAGATTAATAAAAACAGGTTCATAATGGGGAGGAATAATAGAACCACCTAAACTATATATGTTAGCATCAAAGATCATGTCTGTCCCAACTATTTTTGTCAAAGAGAGCATTTTCAGGATTAAAATATATTCTATCACCACAAAGAACAAGATTGGACAAAGATATATTAGACGATATAAATTATATGTTGTTATCACGATTTTATGTATAAATTAAAATAGACAATAAAATTTTGGATTAATTTCTTTGTTTTTTTGTTATCTTCTATATTTTTCATAAAATAATATTCAAATTAGTTATCTAGAGCTTTATATGGGTGCCCAATAAAAAAAAATTACTGAATATTTATGAACCTACCAAATTTAAACCTTTATGATTTTTTCTTACTGGAATCGTAACTGAACTCATAAACGTACCCGGGAAGGGAGGGAAGGTGGCAAGAAAAAAATCCCTTTGGAAATTATTCTCATAAATATCATTTTAAGCTAATAGATCCCCCCCCCCAAATATATACACACACTCCTCTTTCCTCATAAATGTATACAATATATCACTATAAAGAAGAATTTAAATTAATAGATTTTTAAAATAACGACAATTCAAAATTTTTTGAAAAAAGTATTTTTTAAAAAATAATGTGAAAACCCTATTTTTACAAAAATAGCCAAAAGCTTGCGATATGTATTTTTAGATCCAATAAAATTTATAGGGAAAACCTATCTATTAGCGCCCCAAAGCTTGCGATATGTATTTTTAGATCCAATAAAATTTATAGGGAAAACCTATCTATTAGCTTCCCTCTCTAACCAAAATCCTGGCTACACCTATGCCGAAACTATATTATAAAGAGGTGGACACCGACTGAAATCTCAAAAAAATATTATAAATTTCAAAATATTGGATTTTAAATATAAATGCACTAAATCCGCTTTGAATCTGAATTCAAAAATAACAGTCCGGTTTTGCAAAAACAATGATAAGATTTGGTTTGAGTTTATAAAATATGTTTCGGTTCCTAAGCCTGGCTATATTTCTATTGGTTTATTGATAAATGAGAGACGAATAAAGTAATATATTTAAATAGATTTTGGATATATGAAAATTCTACTCCTAAGGTATCACATCAACCTTAGTCTTGTGTATTCTAGTAAAGAAATAAATTGAACTTGACAGCATCTTTTTGATAGTTAGGTTGATAATTTAAATTTAATCTAAATTTCATTATCAGGGCTTCAATAACGACTAAAACTAAACTACTATAAAAATATTTATTGAAAATGTATTTTAAAAAAAACTAAAGGAAGTGGAAAAGAAAAAATCGATATTTTCATTACGATTAATCTGTATATTATATGTTTTTTTACACGTAAATTTTTTTAGATAAAATATCATTTTCTTTTACTCAATAATATATTCAATTCTATATAATAAATAAACAATTATATCCCTATTTAAGTATAAAAATTTATACCTGCAAAAAATAGAATATAAACAAATTTTTTGCTTTGCATATATTTTACTATAAAATTAAAAAAAAAAAAATATTAGATATAAGCATAATTATTTATAATCCATGTAATAAAATATTATATAAATAAAAATTTGAAAATTTTGTATGTCCGAAAATTATTTTAATAATTAACATTTGCACCATCTGAAATCTTTTTAGATATAAAATTTTAAATCCAAGATACCAATTTCCTTAATTCTGCCTAAAAATTAAAACAAAGTTACCAATTAGATAAAAGATAATGGGTAAAAACAATAGCAAACTCAAGCCAGAAGTGATAGAAGATCTCAAAGAATCAACGGAATTTTCAGATACGGAGATAAGAGAATGGTACAGAGGTTTTCTTAAGGATTGTCCCCAGGGTAACTTGACGGTGGAAGAATTCAAAAAAATTTATGGAAATTTTTTTCCATACGGTGATGCCTCGAAATTTGCCGAACACGTATTCAGAACCTTCGATTCTAATGGAGATGGAACAATTGATTTTAGAGAATTTCTTACGGCTTTGAGTGTCACTTCCAGAGGAAGACTGGAAGATAAGCTTTCGTGGGCCTTTAGTATGTACGATTTAGACAAAGATGGTTCCATATCTAAGCAGGAGATGCTGGAGATTGTCACGGTATATGTATATGTATATAACGAACTTTTTTTGTCGGGATTTTATAACAAGATTTAGATGGTTTATTTTGTTGGCTTAATATCATATACAGCTGATCAGTTTTATTTTATTTAAATTAAAGATATTACATTATTAAAAAAAATGAGAAAATATAATTTACTAGCGTCCTAAATTCTACTCATTTTTGTTTTTTGATTTCTCTAGAACACTAAACAACTCTTTTAATATTCATTTAACTATAACTTATAACTATATTATTTTGGTATTGTAAAAATTTAAGCTTAAAAGATTCAAAGGTATAAATAAATACTTTGTATTCTATCATAATGAAATGATGAATCTTGCTAATTTAATAAAGAATGCTCGATGCATAATCCCTTAATTATCATTATAAATATCTTACCCTAATAGAAATTGTTGTCAGTCAAAATTATTGTTATTTTAATATTTTATTTGTTTACACTAGTTGTTATAATTGAATAATATCCTTATATATAATTTATTTATTGCCAGATCCTAAAAAGGTAGCATCAAAACCAATTAAAAAATCTATTAACTTCATAAAAATATAAAACATATTATATACAACACAGCACGATTGCTAAACTACATTATACTACCCGAAAAAAATAAGATTTAAATAATATTGGTAGAAATTTGATAGATATAAGTTTCGATTTCATATTCATCTAAATCTGGAAGAAGCTCTAAGAAATTTTTATATATCTTTATTTTAAAGCTATATAAGGAATTTAAATAAGTTAGACATTAAAGCGAATCCTATTTTAACGGTAAGGGGAATATGAAATATTTTAATTTGAATTCATTTATTGAGGGCAATTTTTATATTGAAAATAATTTAACCGGAGATGTATTTAGCATGTGTAGATTACTACTCTATGAAATTAAGATAAATTCTGCCATAAACTTGGTGAGTTTATTTTTTAATTTATTTATACAAAAAATCAATATAAATCAAATTACAAATAACGTTCACATCATCGTTGTTCGGAATTTATATCGTGGTAATCTACACATGCTGGAATACATAGCTGGGCAAATAAGATTTTTCAAATTTAAATCGTTTTCAGTAAATTATTTAAAATAATAATTTATAATTCCATGTATGATTTCATGTCACAATATGACATGTATACATTATAACATCAGTGTTGTTAAATGCTACTTTTTACAGTAGTGGGGTGCCGCTAACGCTATTAGAAAAAAATGTAATTTGCTATAGCAATCGCTATTTTTCCAAAAAAGTAGCGCGCGATTAGCCACCTTTTTCTAGAGTAGCTTCGTTACTTTTTGTAGAACTTTATCAAAATACTTTTAAATATATCTTTTATATATCTAGTCTATGTCCATAAAACATTTAAAATTCAAACATGTAAATATGTTGATATAAAAATATGACTAAATATGTAAAATTTATATATTATTTATTTTTATAGCATTTCAATAATAAAATCAACTCTATATTATCATCTCCAAATCTAGAGCGGCGATCAGAAAGTATAAGTTTGTCTTACTAAATAATCGTTCAATAGTAGCACTTGAGGGCAATGCGGTATTTAGTTTCTAAACTTATTATATAAGAAAAATTATCAAAAATGTTCACTTGAGTATTTTAGAATTAAATGAGTCAAGAGGATGTAATAGCTACATCTTCATTGGGGTAGATTATTCACGTGTCTAGTTGCTCTTTGGATTCAATTAAGTTAATTCAAAATCAGAACGTAAAACTTTATTTTACCTTTATAATCCTAAAAATTATCAAAAATTATTACCATAACTTCTGTCAGTTGGATACTTGGTACCAAGTGATGATTTAATTAGATTGAAATAAAGGAATATCGACAAAAGAAATAGGCGAAATGTATCAATTATAAGATTAATTATGTGTTTATCAGTTAATTTTTGAGAATCACGTAGTTATGATGTTGTGTGAAATCAATTTAGTTTGAATTAAATTTGATTTATTGGACGAAGCCTTCTCTATAAAATTATCAAAATATTTTTCAATCTCTCTGTAATTTTAGGGTGGACATTTTAAATTTAAAACAATAGAATAATTTTATTAAAATTTATAAATAATAAGTTATTTTTTAGCTTATATTGCCCTTTTTATGTGTCTAAATTTAAATTTTATAAATTAATTTTTTTTAGCGGGTCAAAATATTTAGCAGATTTGGAAACGTAATTCTTGAATATCATTATCTAGTAAAATTCAAAATTTCTTCTATGTCAATCCCTATTGACGGCATTTTATATTTTAAAATAATTGATAAATTAGATTTATAAAGCAGATTTTAAAATATAATTTCAAAATTAAATTTGAGAATAATATTAAAATTAATTATCAAATTATAAATAAATTTTACTACTATTTATAGTATATATTTATTACATAAAATTTTAAAATAGTGAAGTAGCGCGCTTCTTAGCTACTCTTTAAAAAAAGCGCTAACCCTGTCACTATTTTTTTTAAGCAGCGCGCTATTTGATATCGCTGCAAAAAAGTAACGTGCTTTCGTTACGAACTGCTTTAACAACTCTGATATGTAAAGAATTTAAAAAATTTCAAGGGCAAAATACCATAAAGATTACGGTTAAAATATTACAAAGCGGCCAAAATTTTGAAAAAAAAATAACCTTATGAAATAGGTAAAAGCTAAAGCTTATATTATTGATTAAATTTGTTTAAAATATAATAAAATAGCTCGAAGTTACACTAGTGAAGTGTATGAATTTACAAAAAAATAGTATTAAATCGAATAGGATATATAAGAAAACTTTAAGGAAATTATAAAAGATTTTATTCTTTCTTTTTAGGAATTAGGTAAAATGGATCTGTTTAGAGGTCTGCAATGGGCGGGGTTTTAGCCAAAAAGGCCGGCCACTCGTTATTTTGAAATGTATTTAACCCGTCCACCCGCTCACTTATAATATTTTTTTAAAAATTTACCCGCCCGTCCTATCTATAAATTTTGTTCAACCCGCCCGCCTAATGTTTAAGAATTATTTTAATTGCTGGTTCGGCTCTTTATTTATTTATTTAAATGTATTTTTAATTAAACATATATAATAAGCAATATTATGAAATAAAAATATTTTTATTAAATTGAAGTCTGTTCTGAAATCAAAAATATTTTTGGAATTATAAGGTTAAAAAAAAAATTGGTTCTTATATAATTTAAAATTATAATGTAAGAATAATCACGCATCCACATTTTCTGGATTCAAGTAAGTTCTTTTTTTTCGATATCTTCCAACAATTCAAAAGCCTCGTAAAAAATGATAGTTGCTGGAATAGCTATAATTTTTCTTGATTGAAAATATATATCGAAATTTTCTTTTTATTTTCAAAATACACTCACACACATTCAAATCAAACTAATATTTTTAAATTCAAAATACCATTGGGTATAACTATTTTGGGAATGAGATGCCTATTTAAAAAAAATTTTTAGTCCACTGAACCCATGGTTTCTATTTTTAACCCGTCCTCCAACCTGAACCGAAGGAGAATATTTCTAAAAGAAATTTAAGGTTCATGACACAATAATCGAATTAAAAATCTAAATTAAAATACCTCCAAACCTCTAATATTCTAATAATAAATTGAATTTCAAGAAAGAGCTCATATAACTTAGCAAATATTGAATAATATTCAATTCAAGTCTTTATATAAAAAAAAATTTATTCTATAATTTACTAATTCATTTTGTTTTGAGATTCTAAGAGGTGATAAACAATATTATAAATAAAGATAGTTTATTTATACCTAATATACACATAATATGGTATAAAGGTGAAAACTAATGAAAATATTGAGATTATTCAAATTTTAATTTTATTATATAAAGTTATTTAATATTAAAATTTTCTAAGACTTATTTAATCACACATTACTAAAAATCCGATAAAAAAATGGCACAATATCGAAATTTAATTATATCTTTTATAGTTTAATTTTTATAAATAATAAACATTGTTACAATATTTAAAAATATATATTTTAGATAATTAATTCCCCTATATAAAGAATAACTTATAACATAAGTCATAACCCTTATTTATATTGCATATAAATATACTTCAACTTATTACATAAAGCAAATAATTTAGTATGAAATATATATAACATGCTAAAATCATTATTACTTTATTAGTAAGGTCAAACTATATGGTTTTGGATAATAAAATTCTCTGAATTATTTAAAGAAAAAATATTGTTTTTATCGATAAATCATAAAATCCCTAGACATTTGATTTATATATTTGTATAAAATCTAATTGAATTAACCTATTATTCTTTAAAAAAATCTAAATTTCTTATTTTTAATTCTAATTTTGTTTTTTAATCTTAATTTATGTCAAATCATATATAATCATTATGAATTTTCAATGTCAACAACTGACTAAACAAAGTAATTTCTCAGTAAAGATTACATTGATTGAATCTAATTGAAGGCTTTCCCAGAATAAAATCTCAATTGAAAAAAGTTGTCATTTGTCTTGCCCAAAGTCTATATGAAATGAGAAGGGGTAAGAAAATTGAATTCAGGCCGTTTTAATTTCAATTTTTAATGACCTGGGTTAATCGATTTTTTTAATGCGCTGGACTTGGACTTAAGAAAATTTTCTTTAATATCGCTGATTTTATAGATAAATAATTTTCCCAATATATTGGCTACACTATAATTTTTTTTTACTTTCGATAAATTCAAAAATGAATAAATTTAACAAATTAAAATGTGGAATAAAAATTACATAAATACTATCTTATGTTAGCGACATTAGGGGAGACCGGAAATAATGTATTCCCGGGGTAGGTATTTCCTTCTTTAATAATTTAAAAACTAATAAACTTTGAATTGAAATTCAAATAAAATATGTATTTTAATAAGGTGCTTTAGGTCTAAAAATATTACGGACACAATATTTTTGATAATTTAATATCTTCAAATTAAATTTTAATTAATTGTGAAGAT